TTCCCATGATTTCTCCTGCAGAATTGCACGGGGAAGATGGAGGAGTTCTTTCTCTTTGGAGCCTTCCTGGAAGCTACCATGATTGACAGGAAGATTGGTGACAAACCCATCAACTTTGAAGTCACAATAGGTTGGTTTTCTTTCAGAGAGGGTGGTTTTGAAGCATGCCTGGTGGGAAATGCAAGACCCAAGGCTAAGAGCAGGGTTTCTTCCCTGCTCTTCCCTTTCTTACCAACACATGCAAGAGCACTCAGTTTAGGGAGAAGATGGTGTCTACTGGCACAAGCCATGTGAGGCCTCCAAATCCTCCACTGTGTGCAGGCTGTGCTGGGGCCAGTGGAGCTGCTCCTTCTCTCACCCTGGCTTTGTGCATCCTGAGGTTGACCACCTCAAAGGTGACTATTCCGACAGACTCGAGAGGGAACACAAGCAAGGGACATACATCCATCACTAATTTACAGTTCCTGGGCATGATTTCAGAGAGTTGAGCTCCTCTGTCTGTCATGGTTTCTGCACAGAAAACTTCTCCACAACCTGAATTAAACCCAAGAGATTGAGCCTGGTTTACTCAGCACAACCTGTGAGTTTATTTCACATTTTTTCCTCAAGGTAACTATGGGAACCAGATGGATGGCACGACCAAACCCACCCTACGGAGGAAAAAAGAGGGAGGGGATGGGGTTGAGGAGGAGTCTGAGCTACTCCAGAACTCAAGTGAAGATGAAGGTGATGAGGATGGAGAGCTGATCTCTGTTTCTTCATCTCAGCCCATGAAGCCCCTGGTCACAGACAGGTAAGCGTGCCCGCCTGGCCACCAAAGTGTCACTGTGCAGAGGTGTGGCTCTCAGTTTAGAAGTAGCCTGTAGGTGGTCCCACATGTGCTGGGTGTCCAACCTCTGCTCTCTGCAGAGGGAAAGTCAGAGGTGAAGTCAGTCCCATCATGGGGCCTGGAGTCAACTGGCCAAACAGATCTGGAAGCAGAGGTGAGGACCATATCCCTGTGCTCTCTGAAAGGAGATAAACTACCACATGTAGATACCTTGTCTTAGATACTTCAGTCTGACAGGTGAGCCCCACCCCACTCCCTCCAGCTCTGAGCACTCCTATATGTTCTCTGTTGTCCAATAAGGGCTGAATTCACCTCTCAGGGTACTCTACGAAGGATGTCCTCCATCCACCTGGCCAGACGTGCACCCAAAACTCAAGGCTATCTGATACGATAATGCTCTTCCTTTCTGGTGAAGTTAACCAGTGGATTCAAGAACCCATTGGTGGACCATGAAAACCCACAAGTTTTATGTGTTTAGGAAACCAGTCTCTAAATAGATGCTTCCTTAGGATCAATTCCACCTTTGGAATCCATCACTACACATGAGGGAGGGGACGTCTGGGCTTTGCCTCTGTGCCCTCTCCAGCTGCCCAAAGTATAATGACGTCATGGCCATCATATGGAGAAACAGAAAGGTCCATCTAGAGATAAGGTTTCAGGAGTGAGGGTAATTTGTGCCAGGACAAGGTGCATTTCTTCGTCACTCTTAAAAGCTAGACAAGGTCACTAGTACATGCAGATGAAGGCAAAACTGCTGGGGAAAAAAAAAAAAAAAGCTGTTGGGAATGTGTTAGGCATGAGATTGGGGTAAAAGACTTAAAATCTTCTCCCAGGTTTGCAGTGTCTCTCTTTTGGTCAGTTAGTCCATCCTTATAACTTGAGGTCAGGGACAGTCACGCTCTGGTGTCTGACTGAACCAGGACTCAGGAAGCTGGCTCCTGCCCTGGGTCTGTTGCCATACAGCTGGCTGTCATTGGACAAATAGCTTCTCTCTGCCTCAGTTTCCCCAGATGTAAAATTAAAGCAATTATTTGTGTCTGCCTGACAAATTGCTTTGTGATGTGCAGACAGCTGTCACCTTAAAATATAGACAAGGTCCAGGCAGATGGATGTGTGATTCTGGTGGGTACTGTCCACCCCAAGCAGCTGGATCAGAAAGCCCCAAACTGAATTATCAGCACCCGTGTCTTGGGATGGCTGGGCTGTGCTTCAGCCTGGATTTGAATACAAAGGGCTAGTGCTAAGGAAAGCTAATTGGATTTAACCTGATGAGATATGCTTAAAGTGGATTTTAACTGTATTACACCAGTAGACAGATGTTAATAGAATTAACTGGCTGACTTAACTCAATTGGGAAACCATAGAATCATTTAGGTTGGAAAAGGCCTTTAAGACTGGGAAATGATTCATTAAGAAATGAAACAAACCACACTGAACGGAGGGTATTTGCACTCCAAACAGAAGTGTCTACCTGGGGTTCCCTCACCAGCTCCTTGTCAAGGTGAATGCCAAGATGAGAAGGACTCATGTTTTCTGAGCCTTGTCCCCTGGGCCGTGACCCCAGTCTACCCAGATGTCTCCAGTTCCTTGATGCCCAGAGCCTCATGCTCAACCACGGGGCTCTGCTGACATCTCCTGGCTGGAACTACCCCGAC